TTATCAGCCGCCCCTCGGGCCTGACAGTGCTGTTGCTCAATGCCAGGTCGGTCAATAACAAATCCTCCCTCATCCATGATTTGATTGTGGATGAGGGGGCCGACCTGGCTTGCATCACAGAAACCTGGGTGGGAGAAGGGGGGGATGTGGCCCTCTCCCAACTGTGCCCGCCCGGGTATCTGGTTCAGCACTGTTCCCGGCCGGAGGGGAGGGGAGGGGGCCACTTTGGTTTACCGAGCTTCCATCTCTCTCATGGGACTTCCTGTCCCTTCGAGACCAGGGCAGGGGTGCCTCTACTTGGTGTTGGGCGACCGAGACAGATTGGGGATTCTGTTGGTGTACCGTGCACCCTTCTGCCCAACAGTCTCCCTGCCTGAGCTGACGGAGACTGTCTCAGACCTGGTGTTGAGGACCCCCAGGATGTTGGTCCTGGGGGACTTCAATCTCCATGCCGAGGCTAGTCTGACCGGGGCGGCTCAGGACTTCATGGCCTCCATGGCGGCCATGGGGCTGTCTCAACATGTCACCGGCCCGACCCATGAACATGGACACACTCTGGACCTGGTTTTCTCGACGGGACAGGAAGAGGGGGATCTGAGGGTGAGGAATTTACGTTTAACTCCCCTGTCATGGTCAGATCACTTCCTGGTGAGGTTTGTGCTCGAGAGCGACCTCTCCCTCTGTAAGGGTGCGGACCCGATTGTGTGGGTCCACCCCCGGAGCCGGATGGATCCGGAAGAATTCCTGAAGGCCCTGGGGGAGTTTCCGGCTGACAAGACGGGTGCTCCTGTCGAGGCTCTGGTCGAACTGTGGAACGGGGAGATGACGAGGGCTGTGGACACGATTGCTTCTAAGCGTCCTCTCCCACCGGGCAAAGCCCACGCTTCCCCTTGGTATACTCCTGAATTGAGGGCAATGAAGCAGGTTGGGAGATGGCTAGAGTGTAGGTGGAGGAAATCACGGGATGAATCTGACCGAACACACATGAGAGCCCACTATCGGGCCTATGCTGTGGTGGTGAGGGTGGCGAAAAAGAGATTTTTTTTCCGCTTCCATTGCCTCCTCACAAAGCCGTCCGGCGGAGCTTTTTCGAGTGGTGCAAGGCCTGGTTCGTCCAGGTCCTAAGGAAGACCTGGTTCCACCCTCAAAGGCCCGCTGTGACGACTTTGCCAGGCATTTCAGGGAGAAAATCGCTCAGATTCATCACGAGCTGGATACCACTAGTGATTCAGAGGTTTTTGGGGAGACATCAATGCTGCCATCTGGTCCAGAATTATTGGATGAATTTCAGTTACTGCGGCCCGATGATGTGGACAAGGTGCTTGGATGAGTATGTCCCACCACTTGCCTATTGGACCCTTGCCCGTCTTGGTTAATAAATAATTCCAAGCACGGGATTGGGATCTGGATCTTGGAAGTGGTTAACGCTTCTCTGAGGGAGGGTCGGGTGCCTGCCCCTTTAAAGGAGGCGGTAGTCCGACCGGTCCTGAAGAAGGGGTCACTGGATCCAGAGATGGCCACTAACTATAGACCAGTGGCCAACATCCCGTTTCTGGGCAAGGTGTTAGAGTGGGTGGTGGCGGGACAACTCCAAGCACTCTTGGATGAAACTGATTATCTGGACCCATTTCAGTCCGGCTTCAGACCCGGGTATGGTACTGAATCTGCCTTGGTTGCCCTGGAGGATGACCTGTGCAGGGAGAAGGACAGGGGGAGTGTGTCCCTGTTGGTTCTCCTGGACCTCTCAGAGGCTTTTGATACCATCGACCATGGTATCCTTCTGGATAGGCTAGCGGGATTGGGGGTCGGAGGCACTGCTTTGCAGTGGTTCCGCTCCTATCTCAATGGCCGGTTCCAGAAGGTGGTGCTGGGGGACTATGGCTCTGCACCATGGCAGCTATGCCATGGAGTACCGCAGGGGTCCATTTTGTCCCCTTTGCTGTTCAACATCTACATGAAACCGCTGGGAGAGGTCATCAGGAGGTGTGGGCTGCGGAATCATCAGTACGCTGATGATACCCAGTTCTACCTCTCATTTTCCACCAATCCAGGTGAGGCAGTGGCTGTACTGAACTGGTGCCTGGCCGAGGTAATGGGCTGGATGAGGGCCAGTAAACTGAAGCTCAATCCAGACAAGACGGAGGTCCTGTTGGTTGGCGGATCGGGCTTCGGAGAGGGTGAATTGAACCTAGTCCTGAATGGGGTTGCACTCCCTCTTAGGGACAAGGTCTGCAGCCTGGGAGTGCTCCTCGACCCAGAGCTTTCATTGGAAGCTCAGGTGACAGCGGTGGCGAGGAGCGCTTTCCTTCATCTTCGGCTGATTCATCAGCTGCGCCCCTACCTGGAGTACGACTGCCTCGCTACAGTGACACATGCACTGGTGACTTCCCGCCTTGACTTCTGTAACGCGCTCTACGTGGGGCTACCCTTGAAGATGGTCCGGATACTTCAATTGGTTCAAAACAGAGCTGCCAGGCTGCTGATGGGGACTGGGCGTTATGTTCACATGACTCCAGTTCTCAGTCAGCTTCACTGGCTTCCCATTGAAGTCCGGGCCCAATTCAAGGTGTTGGTGATGACCTATACAGCCCTAAATGGGTCCTGGTTACCTGAAGGAGCGCTTACATCTATGTATGCCCGGCCACCCCTTGAGATCTGCGGGAGAGGCCCTTCTCCGGGAACCCTCCGTGAAAGAAATTAGGAGGGTGGGTACTCAGAGGAGGGCTTTCTCTGCGGTGGCACCTAAGTTATGGAATGCGCTCCCCAGAGAGGTCCGCCTGGTGCCGTCGTTATTTGTTTTTCAGCGCCAGGCAAACACCTTTTTATTTAAGCAGCATTTTAATTGTTAATATTATTGGATTTTATCTGGCCAGGGCAGCTTATTTTATATTGGTATTTTTGTATTTTTAACTTAAAAAATAAAAACATTAAGTTAATGTTATAATTATTTTTTAACTTAACGTTGTAAGCCACCCCAAGGCTTTGGCAAATGGGGTGGCATAAAAATGTTTTAATAAATAAAATAAATAATAAGGTTGGTGGCCAGTTTGCAGGGGGTGGGGTATGAGGCGAGACTGACGGAACCGGACTCTTCAGCCTGGAGGAGACTCAGAGGGGATATGTTGGTGACATACAGGTATGTGAGGGGATGTCACATGGAGATGGGTAGAGACCTGTTCTCCCCTGCAGAGGAAGGCAGGATGCACTCCAACAGAGCAAAGCTCAGGGAGTCAAGGTTCCATTTGGATGCCAGGAAGCACTTCCTGACAGTCAGGACCCCGAGGGTGTGGAATGGGCTTCCACAAGAGGTCGTTGAGGCCCCATTGGTGAGGGTGTTCAAAGATAGGCTGGACATGCACATGGTGGGCATGTCGTGAGTGGAGCATCTGGTGCCGGAGATCAGACTAGATGGCCCGGGAGGCCCCTTCTGACCCGCTCTGTTTCTATGTGCTTGAGTCACCAAGACCAAAGTGTTCATTTGGCCAGCAGTAGCAATGCTTGGAATAGCCTCCATCAGCAGAAAACTTACCTGCTTATACTTGTATAAAAGTGATGGGGGCAAAGGGGCTGTTTTTGAAAGCATGAGACAGACCACTTTGTAACATGGTTGCTTTCAATCCTTGCTTTGCCTTGGGACTCCCAATTATTGTAGCAGAATGGTGCTGAGCATTTGTGCCTGGAGTCCTAAAATGAAACATCTCATAATGTTCTATACAGGAGAAATATTTGCACCAGGCTCAAGTTAGTCGATATGTTTTGGGAGACAGGCTGTTTTTGTATGCAGTGGCCTTTTCCATAGTTTTTCCATATCAAAATTCTCTAGTCTGTGTACTGTGACCAACCTGAGGCCAGAGAGATATCAACCTATGCCATATACTCTGTGACCCAGACTTATAGCTTCTCGCTGTGGTGTTTATACATTGATGGTGGTTTGCTGTAATTTGGTGCTGATACGCACCATATCCTATACAGTGTCATGGTGATTTGGGCAGGGTGCAAGAGTGAATTTTTGTTGCCTACTGTCTTCTGCACTGAACTGAATGAAAGGATTTTTAAAAGCACCGTCTCTGTGGTCAGACTATATTCCCACCATTGCTGGAAGCATGCTCAGGGTCTGAAGGGGTTAGTATAGATCTGCTCCTCCCCTCTTCCACCCTTCTTGCGTCATGCCAGCAATGGGGTCAGTGTTGCACTGACATATGTGTGCAGTTTGGTCAACATATCTTATATGTCATGGTATGGGTACAGAAGGGCCATATTCCAGTGTATTCCATAGTTGATAGCCAATGTCACTGAAGTACAGATTGTTCAATATCACATTGCAAATCTATTTTCCAAACCACAGTAGAAATGACAGGTGCTAATCCTTCCCTTTCACACCTTTTCTTTCATAAGGATGTGCCTCCTTATTTGATACCTTGAACAATCTTTGAACAATCTCCAAATAAAAGAGAATGCTATAATTTGTTTTAGGGTAGACAGAAAAGGATTTACTACTGTCAATCAATTCAATTTTATCAGAGACTGACATATATCCTATATGTTAAAGCAAAAGCCTTATCTTCTCCTCATGCATTTGTGAACTTGTTAAAAAAACCTGGCAAGTCTAGAGAAATGTCTTGAAGGAACAAGCAACAGATCCATGAAAAGGGGAGGCCCTTCTATTTGGATCTTGCTCAATCCAGGCAAATACTGATTCTTACAATCCTAATATACATTACCTCTGCTAATTTGTGATACAGCATCATTGCTATAACAGCTTGTGGGTAACATCACTTTTAAAACTGCACTTGGGAGTAAAGAATGGTATATGTGGATATATAAAAATATTTCTTTACTATGTACTGATTCAGAGCATATCTGTGCAAAATCTACATTTTAAAAAACTGACATACAACCCAACATTACTCAATATTTATAATATAGGTGTTTTTAATGGAGAAGTATTGGCAATAGTCCCAACACTTCCTGTGGTAAAGAAAATACAAGTTGACAGCTGATACTGGAACAGTACTTACATTTAATTACAAGTGAGCCAAATATGCTTACAAGGAGAAAAAGGTACATTAAAATTGGTTTGTATGAAATCATCACCAAGAACTTTGACTCTAAGAATGCACATTAACAGATTACTCTCCAATCCATCTATTTATCAGAACATGCTATTTAAAACATATGGTTGAGGACTAAAATGAGGGGCAAACCCAACTGAAGCAAAAAGGTTATGCAGTTCAAGGGAGGCTGCGAGTGGCAGTTCTTAAATTTAAGTACTACAGGAAGTGTTCCTGTTCTTTTAAAATTCTGTCAAAGCCCTTGATTTATAATGGAGACAGCACTGGCTTATTCTATCCATTCAAGATTTAGGCATCTTGCTATAAAGGCAAACATGTCAGATGCTTCCTCAATAACCTTGGCTGTTGGCTTCCCGGCACCATGACCAGCCTTGGTGTCCACGTGGATAAATAGTGGATTAGTTTGTTTGGGGCTTCGACCAACAATATACTGCAGAGTAGCAATGAACTTCAGGGAATGAAGAGGCACCACACGGTCATCATGATCTGCAGTAAGAAGTAAGGTGGCTGGATACTGGACTCCGTCTCCTTCTGGTACTTTGATGTTATGAAGAGGGGAATATCTGTAAGAGGAGCAGACATTGGTTTAATCTCTGAAGGACAAAATAATATCCTGCTGATTGAAAGCCACTCAGTCAAATAAAAACTGGATAAAGAATCCTAGTACAAAGGACGCAAGGGACTGGATTTCAGATATGTGTGCTAGGAAGGAAGTCTGCACATGTGCAGTGAAAAGCAGATGGCTGGATCTAGAAGTTCACATGGCTACACAGTGGCTGAAAGCTTAACCATCAAAGATTGGCAGATGAGAGGGAATGTGTGCTCAGCTGATGCAAGGAAAAGAATAGGAAGAGAATGAAACACTATTGCAATAATCTCAGTTAAAAATGTCAAATTCCATACTAGGAATTATCAATAAATGGTTCAGTCATAACTAATGCCAATATTGTTAATGCCCTTAGACATATCTACATTGTGGTTACATGTAGAACACTGTGCCAAGTTAAGATACTGTAGAAGTGAAAAAAGTGCAACCAAAATAGTCAGATAACTGGACTACCTTCTCTACCAGAAAATAACCATTAGCTATCATTAGTTATTAACAATTAAATACAATAAATTACAAGTGAATGTGATTTGCTGTATGGTATAATTTTAACTATAATTCCTGAAAAATGAAAAGCTACCATGTTACTGTTATTCAGCAGTCAACCAGAATATTCTGCATGTAAGCAAGAAAACATTCTCTACTTACTTGTACAACCAATCAAACTGTTCTTTATAATCAGAGCAACCAAAGTCTGTTGTCCAGGCATGTCCAATTGTGAATTTGTGAAATTTTAGCATGTCCAGCACTCCTACTTGAGCAATAACACAGCCAAATAGATCTGGACGCTGGTTGGCACAGGCAGCTGAGAATCAAGAAAGGTGTGGGGAACAAACAAGTTATATCAGTAGCAGTGCTTAGAGTAGCTATTGTTACTGGCCAATATCTACAAATGATAGTTTTCAGAACAGCTGTAAGAGGTTGTAGCCTTGTAAGGATACACCTGCAAAGGAACAGATCAGTTTGTGGTTTTCGCATCAAACCAGACGTTCCCTGGCAAAAGAAGGATTTGTACCAAGAGCACATGCATCCATTTTGTGGGGGACATAGAAAGCTGCCTTAGAGCCTAACTAGACCTGATGAAATCAAGCCAGTATTTTAGAACATGCTTTACACTGAGAAGGTGTAAAGCAAGGGGAGGTTCATTTCATGCAGCTGGGAGGAGGATACAGAATCTTTGCTTAGCAATACTTCCCCTGAGAAAACTCCCTTGGGTACTCTTCCAGCTGCATTGCATGAGTGAAAGCAAGCATTTGAGAGACAGGAATAACTTAAAGGAGGTTATTTCTATCAGGGAGAAAAAAGAAGGTAAACTAGTGAGAAAGGGAATAAAAAGTGCATAGCAGAGAGGAAAAAGTATGTAGAGTGGAGAAAAAAAGCACGCTGGAGAAGTATTCAGCATCCTTCTTCAATCTAACACTTTTTCATATGATGTTCTCCCAACATCATGTCCATTTGGCATAATGGGTAAAAAATGCGTTACTAGGAGCAAAGCACTGTGCTTATGCATGCTGAGCCCTGCTGCAAGCTGCATCAGCAAAGTGTACCAACTCCCATCTATGATTTGGTTAAGCAGCTGACATACATTGCCTTTTTTGTATTTAATGTGTTGCTGTGAACCACCCAGGGAAGCTTCAGTTACTGGGTGCTAGAAAAATAAAATGGATGATGATAGTAATGGGGTTTGGTTAGTGTTACCAAGGTTTTGGAGTAGCAGCCTTTCCCAGCCTTGCTATATTGTATTGCTTTTACAGGCACCAAATGTGGCCTATTCTGTATGCAAAACATGTGCTCTATCCACAGAATTGTGCTGCTTGCCCTGGAAGACTCCGCTTTTGGGAGCTGGATATGCCAAAGAAAAGCTCATTCAAGAAGCAGCCAACTGCTTCCTGCTGGAGAGCTGTAATTTTTAATAGCCAGTGACACTGACATACCATGACACCTTGCAAAGCAACAAAGCTCTTGAAACACAAATCAGTACACAAATTCCCATCTGTTTCATTTTACATTTAAAGAAACTGGATGATGAAAATAGGGTAGTGAAAGTATTCCAGTTGCTAGACCAGGGAGTCTGCATACTTTCTCCCATCACCTCATGAATCAGCAGGACTTCAGGAGTAGCAGTCCCGGGACAGGAAACTTTGCTTAAGAGTGCTGGTTGCTGGGAGAGACTTTTGCCCCCCTCAGCCCCCAGCAACCCCAATTGCGGGATTGCTATTTACCTACTGCTAGTAGCAACAGAGAACCCACAATCTCACTTGACATCACTAGGGATTGGGAGAAGTGGAAGAGGTGTGCATGTGCCCACATGCTGTTGTCCAAGACAGGACACGACACTGAGATAAGGGTTGGTGAATGGCCCATCTGACTACCAGGGCTCTATAACAGATAGTGGAAATGAATACGTGTGGATCTCTATGCCAGAAAGGGAGCGGCTTGCCCAAGCTTGTGTGAAGTATGGCAAGGTCTATGTTAAAGGCATTAGCTCACTATTAGGTGTGCCAACTTAGAAGCAGTGGTATGGAGACCATGGGTTGGAGTCTGATCTCATTTTCCATAGAGTGGCCCCACTGAAATGTATGGGGAAGATATTTGCTATAACCACCATAGGTCCAATTGATTCCAGCAGCTCTCCTCTAAGTCCGATTAAACCTAGCATGCTCTCCTTAACCCACATGAGGATCTGCTACAGTATTTCATCTTCATGTGCCAGAAGAGAGCAAATCTACATAAGATGTTTAAGGCCAGCTGCATTTAGTCATCAAAAGTTAGTTTTGAGCTTATATACATATTAGTACAACACCTTCCTTTACCTGAATTAGGCATGAGTGTTTATACTGTGCTTTTGGAAATAAGCAGTAAGTTAGACAGCACACCTGAAAAGCTAAGGGGGAGAACGGGAAGGTCAAAACTGAACAGCTGAGCCAGTATTTATTTGCTGGTATACATATCCATCATTCCAGTTCTGGAAAGAAGCCAAGCCTCCTGCCAGTTTGAAACTTTGCTGTGACCTCCACTTTCCTGGTATGCCTGCCTTCACTTGAGAATAATGGTGCTCTCTTTCAATTACTGGGCCTGATGATGTATCAAACCAACACATTACTGCAATGTCAAAAGTGATGGCATTGATCCCTTCCTTCCGTCCGTCTGTCCTTCCTTCCACCAAGCCACCAAGCAACCAACCAAAATCCCTTTCCTTAGTTTTCAAAACTATTTATTTGCATTTAATGAATCCTAGAGAAGATCTAATATTCCATAAGATGCTTTGACCTCGTGGCAGTTTTGTAGGATTATGATTGGTAGGAGCAGTGCTTCCTGCCAGAGCAGCTTTTGCTAGTCAATCCCCCCATTACCTCTCCTGTGCACTCAAAGGGGGTGGTTTGGGCTGGAACAGATTTTTGGGTTTCAGGAGGGAGAAGTGGAAGAGAAAATCCCACTGTGCTAGTAGATGGCTGTCCACATGATGCTGGATTAGGGTGTGCATACAAAGAACCTGAGCACCAGTACAGCTGCTGCAGAATGGGCATCATACAATTCGATGGATGAAGAACCTATTATGCCCACTGTCGCTTACTGGATTAATGGAAATTTCTGAAACCTCTACAGAAGCATGTCTGTACAGTGCATTGATGATACTGTGCAGAGTGTCCTGAATGCATTCTAGCTCTTTTGTCTGGCCTGTTCTTTGTAATACACATCAGGTCAAGTTCCTCATCTAGAAAGAAAGTCTAGTGGCTGGTATCTTCCACGTTTGAACTGGTATTCAACAGCAAAACCTTCTGGCCAGGAGCAGTGGGCGGGGGCTGCCACCACAGCATCCTGAAACATGTTTCATACATTATCAATAAGTGACAGTTAACAGAGCATGATGCAATTAATACAATTATTGTACACCTCATACTGCTAGCTTGTGAAATTTGCAAGTAAAAGCCTATGAGAATTCTTTGTATCATCACTGCAGAAATCTGGACAGGAAATAGACTTGGCAAAAGATTAATATTTCAGGCAAAGTGGTTGCACTAAAAAGTGGTTTACCACTACTTTGTTTTGGTTACTTTCTAAATATAGCTCTACAAATTGTATAACTGATTTAAACATTATGTTGTGAGCTAGGTTTCCTCTCTTTGCGCATTCAAAGCCACAGACCTTCCTTGAAAAATGTTCCTTACTGACCAATAAGCAGAAGCACAAACAGCCAGAAGGAATCTCTGAGGCTGCAGAGTGGTTTATTGAACTCAATCTAGTATTTACTCCTAGGAACTCTCATACATGTGGTGCCAGTGTGGTGTAGTGGTTAAGAGCATGGGACTGGGACTCTGACGATCTGGGTTCTAGTCCCCGCTCAGCCATGGAGCCAATTGGGTGACTTTGGGCCAGTCACAGAATCTCAGCCCAACCTACCTCACAGGGTTGTTGTTGTGGGGATAAGATGGAGGAGCCTTGAGCCCTTTGTAGGAAAAAGGCAGGATATAAATAATAAATAAATAAATAATATGTGCTCCCCGTCCTTTTGGAAAGGGCCTTCTGGAAACAAGCCTTCTTCCTCTCTGCATACCAATCCTCTAATTGGGCTGCTCACCTCTGCCAACATTGAATTATGGGATTGAGAGCCGTACCTGCCTCATCTATCTCCGAGACACTCCTCTGTTCCAAGCCCTTTCCCAATAACTTGGTTACATCTTGGTTATTCTCAGAGGCTGCCTGCACACCTGGGGAGTCAACAAGCACTTCTTGAGATAAGTACTTCTGCTTCTTTCATCTCAACATCTGGAATTAGCTTACATTCTGAGGCCCCCTGCTCCTCCTGCTCCTCCTCCAATTCAAATCAGGCCTTGTGAATGTGCATTAGGAGCACCTGTCTTTCTCACTCCCAACAAATTGTGAGATGATGAGGATTTTGAGTACATGAAGTAGACACAGGTCAAGATTTATTCTAAAACTATGCAACGAGGTAAGGAAGAAAGGCAGATGAAGAATGCAACTCAAAATTTCAAGTCTATAAGTCTATAAAGAATGAATATCTGGACTATCTACTTGGGATTTATTCTGTTTCAAATGTACGTCTTTAAGTTTTGTTTTGTGAATGGCTCAGGCAACTTTAGTTAATGGGCAGTACAGAAACAAAGAAACAAATAAATACAGGGGACCACATAGTCGTAGCCTCTGCTTACCCACTAAGAGGCCTCCATTTGAACCTCCATTAATAGTTAGCTTCTTTGGGGAAGTATATCCTTCTTTGATGAGATACTCCGCTGCACACTGAAAATCATCAAAGCAGTTTTGTTTGTTAGCCAAGATCCCACCTAAAGGGAAACAAAGAAAAACAAAGCCAGTTAACCCCTTTAAACACATGCAGACATTTAATACTTCCAAATCTGTGCCCCTGGGTGCCTGCAGCACCGCTTGGCATCTCTTTTCTTGTCCATGAACATTTTAATAATTTATGCAGTCGAAAATACAAAAGGCAATGATGATCTTTTTCAACAGAGAATTCAGAAGATGGTCTTGCCAGTAACTTTAATGCTTTCAGAAGCCTTGAATAATACATACCTATGCTGAACAGAGAGAAAAGGAAAAACAAAACCGAACCAAACCAAACCCCAGAAACACCACACCAGGTAATGTTCCTATTAAGTGATCCCAACTAAAAGCTTCACAATCCCAACAAAATGGGCAGATACATTTCCAAAGGAAATTTATCTAGCTAGATCATTAATGGAAAATTGACTGCTTTCATGGCATTTTAATCAAATAAGGAAGCAAAATCTTCTGATGGCTACGCACAAGAAGAAGAAGGGGAGGCACGCACAAGCACAAGGCTTGCTTAGCTACGTCCCTAAAACCATGGGCTACTGCTACATCCTGACACTGCCAGGATGTTATACGACTTGGTTATTCTATTGCATTTTGGTTTTTCAGGAACATCTTGAGCTTGGCTCCAAAGACATTAAGCAGAACACCTCACTACTGCTGAGGGTTAAGGATTTCTGAACAGGATCTGATGTGATGCAGCACTGTTTGCAAGCAGCCATCTTCCATTTACAAGGGAGCACTTGGGATCCTGGCCATTCCACACGCCACCATTTTGTATCAAGTTTCTTTTTTAGATGTGATGGCCCTTGGCTTGCACATGACTGACTGATCACAGAAAACTCAACTAGCCATAGAAAGGTAGATACCTTCAATTCTGTAATCTTTTAAACATAGTCTTTTTATTGCTTTGTAATGTACTTGTTAATGAATCGCTGGGTTTCTTAATTAAAAATGATGCTACCATCAATACCACTGCTATGCAACTGGTCTGTCATTACACAGTACCATGACATCACATCAAAAATTCAAAGGACAACCAATACCAGGCATTTTATCTATATACAGTATTTTTAAGTTTAACTGGCTCGACAAAACACTGCAGGAGACATATCTTGTGCCTCATCTGATAGATCAGGTCTACCTTCACTACTGCAACATCAGGATCCCTTCCATGTGAACTAAGATCACCATGGCAAGTTCAGGAGAAATGCTATCAATGAAATTAACAAACAACAGACTTCCAGCTAATACATACACACAGTGCAAATTAAACCAGGAAATAGAGAAATAAAGCCTTCTCACATAAAAGCAAACTTTATTAAAAACTCATTATAGTTCTTCAGTTAATTTCCAGTTACTGACATTTTGCCTTGGATAACAATGCAGACATGCTGGCATATAGGTTTTATCTTTCTGAAAATCATCAGCTCCTTTCTCTCTGTTACTGGGAAACACAAGAGGTACGAACCACAAAAACAGTTAAAATAGCATTGAACAAAGTTATAAAAGAGTAGCCTGGAAAATCCCAAGAAGGAATGATCATGTATTCTTCAGAACTATTTAAGATGGCTTTTGAAAAAAAGAGACAGTGGACTTGGAGGTAGCTATCCAAATATTTTAGACTTCAAATTCCACAAGCCCCTGCCAGCATGGTGAATGGCCGTGAATGCCGGGATTTCACACCCAAAGCATCCAGAGATCCATTTTCTGCCCTCCCAACAACAGAGAATGAAACTATTTTTTGTAAATTAAGAAAGGTAACATTTTTGGCCATATTTGCAATGGTATTGTATTCTTTCTGTAGAAAGAAATTTTGACTGAGATTAGATAACAGTCTTGCACCAAGAAATCCTTACCTTTGTGCCAGGTCTCTCCATATTCACCCCCTCCTCTGATATTAGCCACAGCTAGAATACCACCCAAGTGTCTTATAAAAATAAGTCTTGATACGCTGCAAAAAATTACAAAGACAATCAATAGGTAAGTGGCGTTCAGTGGTGGAATCTGGTATCTGGTATTCCTGTTTGAGTAAAATATAGTTGCGGGAGGAAGAGGTTTCCATTCATATAAACACACTTTACTGTTTAAGCATAAATGTGGGCTTAAGTATAAAGGATAGTTTAAAGGTGTCTCCCATATGAAGTACTGCAATAGCAAATGGGTCCTTAATAACGACAAATTCTTTCATGATTCCTCCTTTGTCCTGGTTGCTACAATCTCCATATGGGCTCATTGAGGTTTCCAGAAACCCCATCTCACTGGCCAAAAATGGATTTGGAGACTTTAAAAAATTGGCATCCGTTTCCCAATCCAGAAAAATAAAGCTGATAAATCTAAGAAGAAAAATGAACATGAAGTACTTAAGGCTGCTTCAACTTTTCTGTGTGTGTGTGTGTGTTTTTTTTTTTTTTTTGAAGGAAATACAAAGGCTTCACAGTTTGATTCCAACAGTGTCTTCAAAGAGGTAAGACGCTATTAGGGAGTTGCTGCATTTTGAAGTCAGCTTGCAGTGAATTCATCAGAAGTAAAGTCAGCAAAGCTCCATATATGGGGCATAGTAGAAAGAAGCCTCAGGGGTGGTCAGTGATGTGAGTGGAACCAGGAACCAGGGACTGCAGGGCTGCAATGCCAGGTCTCTCTTACTAGCAGGTGAGCTGGCTCCCCACCTCCATTCCCTTTCAGATTTCTGTTTGGCTGAAATTTTCAAGGCTGGAGTGAGCGTTAAGAAACCTGGGGGCCAGAAGGTAGGAAAGGGAGCAACACTTTTGTTTTAAGCAGGGTGTGTGAGTGTGCATCATCTCCTTTTTCTATGGATTTTTTTTGTTTTGTTTTGGTGTGGTGTGTAATTTGCCTCTGTATGTGAGTGTGTGTGTTGCAAAGTTGTATTGTGTGTGGGTTTCCTGCCTGCACACACGTTTCTCTGAGCAGCACCTGTTCACCTTCAGTGAAATGTGGATTTTGCTGTGGTTTGAGGAATAAATGCAGATTTGGCTGGCCCCACTTCTGCCTTGTACTCATTTCCCACTGAAGTTATTCATCTCTGCACCTGCATTTTTCTGTCCCACACCCATTTCACAGAAGGTTGACTGAGGTTCTAAGAGTGGTTTTGAGATGTTTTGGAGCTGAGATGCCACTTCTATACTTTTCTGACAAGCTACTTTTAGCTTCATCAAGTTGCACTCCTATCATGACAGCCATTTTTTGAGTTGGCAAGCCCCACTCCTGCTTTGAAAGCTATTTTCTGACAGTATCCAGAAATTCCAATGTGCTCACTTAGCCAAACCAGCTGGGGACCCCTGGACTATTGTATTTACACAAGAAATAGCCTGTGATGGCAACCTATTAGTCATTCCTTTTGGGGGAAACACTTGCAAAGAAAGGATTACCAGTAGGGAGAAGACATCCCTCATTTCTAGATCCATAACAGTTACAAATGTCAATACAGCTTCTGGGAGGGGGGAAACGGCAAGAGAGAGGTTGCTGGCATTAGACTTGCGTGCTAAAATCCATTGGCTCGCTTGCTACTAACACATCTCTAATTCTGTTCAACATTCGTTTAACGAAGATGGAATTTAACACAATACAGCAAGAGAACTACAACTAATTACAAAGATGCCTGAGTTATTGATCTTTTCTAAACACTGTTATTAAGCAGAGCCCTTAAAGTTAGAATTAATGATTGCCAATGTAAAGAAGGCTCACTGTCAAATGAGTCTGGAAATTAAAGCAGTGAGATGTTCATGGAAGCACAATAATATACAAGAAGATTACAAAATCACAGAGAAACTCTTCCATACTTTTGCAGCTTGTATCCTTAGCTAGAGATCCTGCAGCCAAATAAATGGATAGGGCATTGTAAAAGTGGCAGTGGGACCCTTTTTCAGCCTGAGACTGCATATGGGGATCTGTGAGGAGGGCTGGGCAGGCCCTCTGCCCATATACCTTTTTTCAGGCCCACCTATTCACACCCATGCACACCACCAGCCAGGAATGCCAGCCCTTTCTCATGTTGCAAATGGCTTTAGAAATTTTAAATGCCTATTTGCTATGCATGGGAGAAATTTTTAGACCACATACTGTGTTTTTGTTAGCCTTTTTCTTACCTCTAGCAAGCCCATCCAAAAATGTTCCCTACACTGCAATTAGGCATTAAAAATTCTCCACTCCCCACTTAAAAGGCAATTTGCTGTATGAGGGCCAGGTAATGAGGACTTTTTGGCTGGGGGTTCCCAAGTTGTTTCATGAGCAGTGTCTATCCTTTCTTACTATGTCCCTAATCTTATACTACCAATTATAGTATTTGATTGCACTTCTGACTGACTCCTCAGTCCTGGTACTGTTTTGACTTAGTACTGCCATCTCTAGAAATAACAAATACACACCTGAACTGGTTCTGGAGAAAGAACAGATTATAAAAGCATAAGAAAGAAAGGTACCACAATATGTGCCTATGTATCACAGTTGCTGGGGAAATTGGGCAGGAAGACATATGTATAATATGATGTTTTAAAGTAATGTGACTTTTGCTCCCAGGAACTGCCATCACAATAGACAATTTACAGACAGAATGTGCCCGTCTTGAAGCATTAAAGCTGACCTGTTCAAATGAGATGTTAATTGATGGCTGATAGTACATACTAGGCCTGAATTTGTTACCCTAATTCTACCAGGGTTTATACACCAATATATACCAAACACACATTATGTCTGCTAGAATCAGTCAATGTTTGTGTGTTGTGATCCTGATATGTTGTGATTCTTTAGTTGAGTTCAGTGATAAAGTTCGAAAGGTTCAAAGCTTAAATATTATAAAAGTGTTTCTGAAGTCTACTTTACCATTGCCCAGAACAGACATTTTATTCTGAGCTTCTGGACTTGTGACTCATTCATTTTGGTTGAATTGTCAGGTCAAATCCATAAATGCACAGCTGAAAGACTGAATGCTAGATAAGTGACATGACAACAACATAAATGGAAACAGACACCTGGCACACAGAAAGCCCTTGGGATAGATAACATTTTTCCATGGTTGCCTGCTTCTAGAAACTTGCAAGGAACATGCTTTGTTTTTTAAAGAAATTGTTAATAATGTAAGTATTGTGCCCTAAACTGGCCAGCGCTCTGCAAGGGTACTTAGACCTAATGCTTAGGAAGGAGGCTGCCTTTGCTAATCATCACATACTAGCAACTTCAGCTCCTAAACTTGATGAAGGTATGGAGGAAAGGATTTAAGCTCATTACCGCAGGATGCTCAGGGCTTCCTACCCATATTCTTTTCTTTTAAGAACGTATAGTAAGTGAATCAGCACATCAGGAATAGAGGACTAACTTCTCTCTTCAGTTTTTCCTCACAATCATTACCCCTCACATGTGTATGCAAGTTAAAAATGAGTATCCATTGGCACCAATAGACTTTTTGCCCTTTTTTGGTGTGGCAAGCTGTATGTGGAAACAGAAGTTTGAACCTTCCCCTTTGGGATTCAGTGGTCCTAGTTCAAATTGGGGCTGCTTGCATTTATTCTAGCATAAAAACATTATATTCAGCTACATACTACACTTACAGTCCTAAGGGAAATGTGATTCTTGTCAGAACTTACTTTCTGGGTTTATAGTACTGACCTGCCAGTCTCCTAGAGTTGTAAGCAGAATTTTTTACCACATTAATTTCTACTTGGAACATTTATTAGATTTATATCTTGCATTTTTGCTTTTTTTTAAGAACTCAAAGCAGCTCATAACATTCTCCTCCTCCTGCTCTCAATCTTATCCTCACAACAACCCTGTGAGGTAGCTTGGGTTGAGAGTCTGTGATCAGGCCAAAATTTCCCAGCTGGCTCCATGGCTGGGTGGGGATTAGAACCCAGACTGCCTGAGTCCCAGGCTGGTGCTCTTAACCACTGCTCTACACCACACATTGGCTTAAAGCAACTCTAAGACTATGTCCAGGGGTGCTATTTAGGGACAGAAAGAGCCGAGTCTCTCTGAGGATATATCAGACTACCCAGAAGATTGCACAAAGATTCACCATGGAAGAAAAGTAAAGTGCAGAGGACTTTAGACTCCTGCACTCTACTTGCTCTTGCAGGAGAAATAAAAGCAAGGACCCACATGTTGAGGAGGCTTGCAAACTGTGGACTATGATAATAAATACATGGTAAGAAATGCAGAAGAACAAACAGGATTCTTAATTAGCAAATGATGTTTTGTATTTTGGGTGGCTGTTTAAAAACCTGAGCACAGCCCTGCTAGATCATTTGCTTCCCACAGTTTAAATGTGTGTGAAGCAAACTATGTGAAGAAGTGCTTCCTTTTTCTTCGTCTTTCTTCCACCATTCATCTAGACTCTGGATTCTAGTATAATGAAGGAAAGACAACAACTTGCCATGCTACTTGGACATATCATGCTTAATTTCATAAGCCACTATCATGTCCTCCCTTATTTAACCATGTTTCTAGATGAAATAGCTTTCTCTGCAATCTTGCCTTAAAGGAAGAGTTGCTCAATCCCCATTTATTCTTTTGGTTGATCCTTTTCAGCACATTCAATATCCTTTTAGATGCATAGTGGGAAGCATGTTTGAGAAGAATCAACAGCTTGCACTGAAACTCAAGATTTCCTTTGGCTTTGCTTTCAACATTAATTAACTGCAAATTAAGCACATATAATCAATTATGCAAATTCTTAATATAAAGCCATCTGAATGATTATTATTCTGAAGAACTTTCCATAAGGCTTCAAGTTTTTGCTTACCTGTAACTTGGTGTGATAGATATGTTGAAGCCACCATAGCCATAAAGGAAGGCAGGATGAGATCCATCTAATTTGATTCCTTTTTTGTGGACAATAAACACTGGGATCTTAGTGCCATCTTTACTAGGGTAGAAAACCTGGGAAAGGAAAAGAAGTGAAGCATCACAAATTGCTTCAGAATATCAAAAGTTTGCTTTTGGATAGTCTCTAAAATCCAACACAAACAAGGGCAATGGAGTGTTTCAGCAGATGGGAAAGAGAAAAAGAGTTTCATTGGTTCAAAACTTCCATTGTAAAAGGCCCTGAACCTGGTTTATGAAATACATAACCTTCAGGGAACAGGCTGTCCTAGTTATATTAATGTACGGCAGATCACACAGGAAAGATTCAGTCTCAAAACGGCACTCTCAATTGTAAACTAAAGTTTTTCAGTAAATAAAAAGTAGATACACCATTCATTAAAGTCCATGTTGATGCCATTTTCTTAAGGAAACACTGATGTCTTTACTGGAATAAAAGCTAGGCATGAGAATGTCATTTTACCAGCTGTGGGCATGATAATAAATATTCAGCACAGAATAACAGGCTCCCTGTCAATCTGTTACAGGAACTATTGAACCAGACTAATGAGGTGATGGAAACTGCATCAGATATTGGAGTTGGGGAAGAGAAGGAATCAACTACACTACAGTCTTGGAACAGCCAATATCAAACTAATGCTTTCTAGAAGACCCCTGAACAACCTGTTATCTGCTCTTGATAGTTAAGTGAAGAAAGGTGCATGGCAAGGGAGGACTTTTACTGAGTCAGGTTATGGGCTGATCAAGCTCTTATTAAACATGGCATTTCTCCCAGAGTGCAAACAGGGCTCTCCAAGCCCTACTTGAAAATGCCAAACACCAAGAATGGCCTTCCTTAGATGGCACTGCCCAACCACATGTAGGATACTTAATTAGCTTTATTGTAAAAATCAAACTTCTCCCAGACAAAGGGATACAGCTTTGGCCTCTTTTTCTGGATACCATATTGATCTTCTATTGAATGAAGGAAAGCTGTAATTAGGAGTACACCAAGAAAGCAATCAAAAAGATTACAGCAAGCTAATGTCTTCAAAACATGCCATTTCCTTAAACCCTCCCCCGAAAACTATTATTATTAGTAGTATCATTATTATTTTGCCCATATTTAAGTACATTTATGCTACCTGATGTTTGCCCTTTATTATTATTTTTAAAGTCCATAATTAATTCAATTTATTCCAGCTAATGTTTTGCTCTTTAAAATATTAACCTGTGACCCACAATTCTTGCTTCCCTTTTAATACTAGTTGCAAGGAGGCTTATCTAAAGAAATCATTATATTTTCATCTCTTTACATCATCATTCTTGTCCCAAGTGGGATAAAGGATTGGTGCACAGAAGCACCAATCCTCTTATTACTTGTCATATCAAGAACCATGGGAGGAAAATACTTAACAAGAAAAATGGAAGCTGCCTTCTACTCCTAATCCTACTCCCCTTAGCCCAGTAACATCTCTGACATCAGCAGCAATCCAAGGGTGAGGGCAGGGGTCTTTTCCACTACCTACTATTTAATCCTTTAACCACAGATACCAAGCTTTGAACCTGGGACCCTGTGAATGCAGAACAAGTGCTCTACAATGGAGCGATCTATGAGTCTTCTTTTCATTTGTATCTGAATGCCATCTTTCCAGTTGCATGTGCATTTCCATTGTGACGGAACCAGTCCTATGCATGACTGGAGCTGGATCAGGACTGATACATGCCTAGATGGATATGTGGCTGCTATGTGGCTGCTGGGCTGGATATACCCAGATGATGTCTAAGAATCTATGAAGGATACATTTCACTTCCTTTCCATAATGGTGCAAACTCAGTTCAGAACAGTACCATTAATCTGAATGCATCACATGTTCAGGAAAATCTTATCTGTGGTGTGGTCTGGTAGGAATTTGGCGCAAGCCAAAGACTTGTCTCTGTATTGTGGGTGTCTGATGTATATTGAATACTCATTTAACTAAACAACCACATTCCACTCCCCAAAAATGCCTATCATAAGACTGATTTGTTCCAGTAAAAGTGAAGCCACCTGCACTAATGTTCTTAGCTGGCCTTTATAAAGTGCACAGACATATCAAACAAAGCTGTTTTGGAAAATAGGAAAATCATTATATATAATCAAGGAAGCCCTTTAGAGAGTTCATTTCACCATCCACCCATGGGGCAAGAGGCAGCATCATGCTGATGGAGGCTAAGCGCCAGAACCCAGTCATTTAGAAAAATCCCTCGTTAGTGAGCCTGGCAGTCTAGCAGCAAATGGCTGCTGCAAATGAACTCCCCAGGTGGTAGGAACAAGAGAGAAGCAAGAGAGAGATAATTTTCAAAGAAGTTTGGGCAGATATCCTGCAATGAATGTATTAGAGAGCTTTATTTTTTTAAAAAAACAACCCACTAAAGAAAAACAGTTTGATTTCTACAGAAAGCTCAAGGGTTAAATGGTTTGATACAAAGTAAATTAAACAAACACTTTGGTAGCTGTCTTATCCTAACTGTATCATTTTGAAGCTAACCCCACCAGGTATGCATTTCTTTTATGTTTTTTTAAATACAAGATGGGTTCTGTCACATTTAATGTAAGAATTGAAAACCTGAGAAATCAGCCAAACACATTTTATTAAGATAATCCTCAACTCCAGAACACACCATGACACAGGCAATTATGGAAACAACTGCTGTTAGCTAGGGGAAAAGAGTTAAAATGACACAGACATCTTGGCAACAAAAAGAATGGATATCATTAAAATTATGGCTTGTACTATTCATCCTTTTTCTTCTTCCCCACTCCAGCATCTTGCCATCTCTGACACAGGGGTTGTTCTCATGCCAGGTGGTCTATGGCACTGCCATTCTGAATAGGTAACTACACTTAGGGGTTGTTGGGGTGTGTGAATCTACCAACTGTGTTTTATTCATGGGCTAAACAACCTTTGCATAATATATGGTCTGTTTTAGCATTATGTGAAGCTTATTTAACTCAAACAATCTATACTTGCTGAGGTTGCATGACCCAGCAAACTCTGAATGTGATTAGACTTGTAATCTGGTGTCTTTGGGTGCTCACGTCATTAAATAATCCACAGGGAGCTCCAGTGTGTCATCTGAAACTGGTTACAGAAAGAATCTTCCAGTAAGAGAGTGCAGCAGTTAGTAGAAAAACGAATGTTGTAAATGTATTTTTTGCAACTTTTAAAGTTTCTCCAAGCTAAAACAAACCTATATTCCATTCAGTCTAGTACTGGATTGGCATTGGCTCTTTCAAACCACAGCCAAAAGCAATGCTTAGCCCTTGTATTAAAGACACTATAAGTCTGCCTTCTCAACAGATATACTAGCTATAAGTAGAGCTTTTCATTCAGCCAGATTCTACACTACACATAAACTTTAAGATAGCAGTAATGTTTTGAATTATTTTCAGAAGTCCTTTTTCTCAGTTTGAACATCTCTGTGGAATTGTTGCTACTGACTTGGAATAAAGTTGATGCAAGTTTAAATGTGATGCAAACTTTAACATTATTACTTTGAATAGCCACTGGGAGCACTTTGCATTTTGGGCTAGTTTGCACATAATGCTGGCAGATCATGGGTTAATTGATCATGGATTAATTGTTGTGAAGCTTTGGGCATTGGGCAGCATAGTAAATAAATCCTACAATGTGACGTGCTCCGTGCTGCACTTGAGCTTCTTCGACTTTGCTTAATACACCTCCAATCAGCTCAACTGTAGGCTGTTGCATGACTTTGGGACCCAGACACCATGGGGCTGTCCATGGGTGAAACAATCCAAAGTTATGTTGCAATTAGGCTACCCACGAATAAGGCTGTTCAGTGTAGCATTCTAGACTAAAGTCTTTGGGATAAAATTCAGAGTTCCTCAACTGTCTAGCTTAATAAAGGTATTGCCCACATATAGGTTTCATAAGATTAACACTATAATAAACTTAGCTTTCATAATGAGTCTCAATTTACTCAAATGAATTTCATTTTCAGTATAGGTTCTTCAACAGTTAAATAGCAGTGATTAGATTCTTGTCATGCAATTTTTGTTACTTTTCACCAGGACCTCTTCATATAAATAACACACTTGTAGAAAACCTCTTCAAGTAAGTCTCTCTTAGTTTCAAGAACTGTTGTGCTCTTGTTGTTCTTCTCTGAAAAAAGTTTCATTGTCAGTCTATTTATTAGATTTTACATTATCTGTTGCCAGGAAGAACATCAGTCTTTGACAATGAAGGCCATCTACAGCTTAACCATCGTTCATCTTAGTATTGGAAAAACATTGTGCTAAGAATATTAATGACTTTTATTTGCAGGGCCATCCTATTTTCTGTTTCATGGGAGATGCCTCAAGGATGGAGGGAAAACACTTGGCTTGAAAAAATTACTCTGAATAAGTAAACAGATAGACTAAATGCTGAAGTAAAGCTGAAACTTAACATCTCGGTAATATAATTGTCAACTGCTTGTTACTGAAAGTCCACTTCTGTGCCCAAACAAGAACTCTTACAAGAAAGCAAGTACAGGTTTTAATAGGTGAACCCTGGGAAGATTTTAAAAGTGACAGTAGAGGTTACCACACTCAAGGTGGCCTGACAACAGAGAGTTGGTATGGTCTGGTGGTGAGGATGTTGGACTGGGGGCCTGGGAAAGCCTTCTTCTACTCCCCACTCAATTGTGAAGCTCATTGGATGACTTTGGGCCAGTCACAGACTCTCACCTGATCTCCCTCACAGGCTTGTTATGAGAATAAAATGGAATGAAGAAGAACTGTGTAGACATCTTTCCTTGCAAGAGGGAAAAAGGCAGGATATAAATCTAATGTAATGATAATAATGCTCAACAGGTCAATTACAAATAAAATCTCAAAAAAACCTTTTGAGCAACTATGCAGCAAATCTTATCATTAAGGTACAAATTAGTCTTCTTTCTACCTCTCAGAGTAGAAACATCCCATGAAACATCATTTTATTATATTGTAATTTTGAAGCTTAGTTATACCATATGTTTATACACTTGCAAGGATATGGTTCTTATAATGCATGTTTAAGATTAGATCTTTG